AATCTAAAATATGAAATGTATATGAGTACCAGTCGATGGTAGACTGTTTAGTTTTAATTAATTTTAATTAGTGCTCTTCGCTGTTGATGTCCTAATCGATATTCCATATAACTGTAATAACGTTATTACATTTCTTGACTTATATTTAATAACATATTTGGAATATTTCATTCAAGTTGGATAATGTATTTTTAAGTGACAACTCGACATCAAAAGACAAAAACCCGAATAGAATGCAGCCTAGAAAGTTCTCTTCATTAGCTATCAAACGAAAACATTCTATGGTAATGTTATTGCAGATGCAACTGTTGAATGACTGACACGAATGGAATTCAAAGTATATCTACATAGTTTCATGGTAGTGGCGGTTGTCGATTGCACCGAGCGAAATGAAAGTAACAATCGGTTTATGAAACGTCTCACTGGAAGGTAATCTAATCGGGCCGACCAGTATTACACAACAATAAGAGCCGACTACGAAACTAAAACAAAACAAGTCCACTAATCACTTGTTCTAAAGGTATGTGGCCGTAACAACCGTAACCAAATTTGAATATGTATTTGTAAACGGACAGGTTCACAAATATAAAAATAGTAACTAACTATTGTAGTGGATATTTTTAAATATATATCATTCCGGTATCTTTTTTTAATTTAAAGCAATAATTAATGAATAAATTAAACACAATACTCAGAATGTAGTTATCTTAATATTACTTATTACACAATATCATATTTAGACAAAGAACAAAAACTATAGTCTTAATATCCTAGATAATAAACAAATTGCTTAAAACTCATTCATATCTTTAAAGTCAGAAGTAAACTTATATTTAATTTAATTCGTCCATCAACGAAATAGACACAATATAAAAAGAAGATATTCCAATACTAGGACATGTTAAGTAAGACAAGCATAAGTTACTATGTATTATTACGTATAACCACTTGAATTATCCACCAAGAACGAGAACATCACATGATACCACGATATTTAATCGAAACTTGTTGTAGTTATGTCAACTCACCAAACATCTTATATTTTACCATAATCATTCAGATAATAATGGCCACAGTGTATAATTTTTCAACTTCATACTTCCTGAAGTTTAGAACATTTTTTTACCATTTATCACTATACAACATAATCGAAATCACACTAAGAAAAATAAAAATTGTTCTAAATGCCGAACCTTTCGCTAAGAATGTACTGGTTTAAAACTCTCAGAAAATTATATTATAATATCTATTAAAACTACGGCAGAACGGAGTGTTTATAAAGTATGAAGGCTCGACTTTATTCATGTAATTAATGACCATTTAGCAGTTCGTTAATGCAAACGTTATAGCTCTGAGAATAGCTGAAGTAGGAAGCATTGTAGAATAAAACTGCAGTACTTTCTCTATTTGTTTTGTCGGCGATACCCACGTAACAATGAGCCACCAGCGAGTCACACTAACGTTGAATATGTATTCCAAAAAGTATTAAGATTATTGATGAGAGGTCGTTTATACGAGTAGATACCGTTTTTGCTTACAGTGAAGTCTACATTGTATATAATTCTGCAATTTGAAATACCGATTAAGTCAATATTACCAAGAAACTTTGGATGGTTTACATTGTTAGCGAACACCTTCGGTTTCCATATCAGTAGCGGGTTGTTTTTATTAATACTTAAAAGCAGCTGATCATGGGTGTTCTTTTTACAAGAAATTTTAAAACATTAAAGTTAGGAAACAAGCATACGTAACGATTAAGGTGATTAGTCACTAAACAAAATTAGACAAGAAATACTAGATGGTTCTAGAATTGAGATTCGTGATTTTTGTTGATTGTTTTGTAATTAATGATAATTTTAGGCCAAATATCTAAATTGGTGAGTGGTTTTATTTATTTTTTACTAATGTAGTAATAATTTATCGCAATTTTAATTATTATCAATTACTATACGAGTATACAACTTATGTTATTATGGAGGTTAATATTTCGGATCCAGGATATACAGGATTCACGTAATCGTTTACGTCAACAAGTGATGATTTTTTACAGCCTATAAAAAAGAAAATTAAATAACCATTTTAATAGAAATAATAACATCTTGATTTTAGATTGAAAAACCTACTCCAACTATAAAGCAATAAATAATAAACCTTATTGACCACAAATCATTATTTTGAAATTTGCATTAGACACACAATACCGAAACACAAAGCGGTCAATAAGAAAGTCGGTCATAATCATGGGTAAGCCCATTTTTTTATACAACTTAGAATGGTAAACAAGCTGACGAACCGCCGGATGGAAAGCGGTAAGCGTCGTCTATAAACATGAACAGCACCACAGACGATACAGACACTTTGATTGCCATGTTCTTCTTCTAAGATGACTAAGATATACGAACAGAGTAAAATTATATGCAAGCATTGTAGCTTGACAACAGAATTACGAATAATAAGAGATTCGTAAGACTGCAAGTGGATAGACGTGCCATACAGACGAAGTTATATAAAGTATCAAAACATATTGCATTCGGATCGATGTGAGAAACACTCAGTTTATTGGTTTTATTTTTAAAATTCCACTCACGCTACAGTTTAACCCGTGCATTCCTAAATCGATAGCTCCGGCCTTCACTATGACATTCACCACTATTGAGGTTCTTCATTTTTACCATATTGGTACTAGGTATACAAGTTCCGCTAGTATATTATACATAGTACTTCTATAAGGACGGTGCATGACCTTGCTGTAAAATGTCATGCTTACATGTTTGAGCAATTTGACCGGTTAGTACAGAGTATATTAAATATATAATATACCTACAAATAATAAGTTTGAAACTATACGTTGATTCAAGGTGTTAATAAATTATGAATTTTACAACTGAAGCAGGAACTAAACTGGTAAAAATATAAAAGATTTTTTTTAAAACCTTACAATAGACAAGTAAGATAAGACTATGGAAATATTTAAAACATAAAACAAGATATACATTCCTTATATACTATTATCTATATATAATTAATGAATATTAATTTCACAAAATAAAACATTCCGTAATACATTAAGATGATTAAGACAATAATAATTATAAAACATTTCTAATGATAACACGTAAGTACCAAATACAACCATAACAAAGAGATAAGCAGCTTTAGCATTACTTTCGGATTCCATATCACTAAATAGTACATCGATGCTCCGAAATCGTAGTCACAAATTGAACAATGAGCGGCGGCGACGCGGGACCAAAAAGAAAATTAATTTAGGTATTGGTGTCGGTCGGTGAACCCGCGATTGTGAAACGTGAGCGATTGCGCTCGGTACTGTTTGTGTAACACACCGGCACAATACCGCCACATCAACTGGCCCTCAAAAATGCTCACCTATTGCGAAATGCGCGCGAATTAAGTGAACCTACAACTGATTGATATCTGTGTTCTAAATTATGCTGGCTTCTAATCGCGAGATCCTAAATAAAGACAAAATACAGCAACATATTTATTGATGGCTACTTATCCGAAACGCAGAAAATAAAGATGACGTCAATTACATTATAAACTACTATCGATTTTTAAACTAAACGTTTGCCAATTTCAATTTATTCGGTTTGATAATATAGCCGTTTCGTATTAAATTGTTCGCGATTTAGGACACGTAAGCAGTTAATTTAAATAAAATTAGTCCTGAACAGATGTTTCTAATTCCAAAGATTTCAAAAATACAGTGTGACTGTTTTTCAATTAAGTAGCAGTCACAAAAATTGCGAAGCAGAGCATACAGATGCAATTGGTAATTGGAAGATGAGATCTCGTGTAGAACGTGGCCCGAGGCGGCATGAATGAAAGCCGCTCACTGGCATCACACTACAGTCGTATTGGACTGTCCCGAGGCCAAATAAAATTTGTATCTTGTACTTATTTACCATACAATGCTCACTAGCTTAAACCACGTGTATTTTCAATACGGTGCTATGAAGTAATGTATATGGAACTCAGTGGGGAATCGTCTGTGGGGAGTGGTCGACTCATGAACCTTTAAGGATATCGACATCCGCCGAACGAGTTTTTCCAGTCCGTATCATCGCAATATCACGGTTATTATTGAAACGCGCGCCGCGGTCGCGACAGGTAAGTAAAGCATTTATCACGAGAAATATTTACCCAGTGTAGTGTTATCTCGTTCATTTTTTGTAAAGGGGAGATTGGTTTGCGACGATGTTTTATCATTATCTAGTTACATATAGATTAACGCACGGTTTTGGGAGCGTTAATTTAACAGTTTTATCTCAATGTCGCTATACGATAGGTATTGGTTTTAATGGTTCATCATATTCTTAATTCATGTTTAGGTAAACACAAACATTAAGCACAACCAATTGTTTATCATATAGTTAATATACAGCTAATCATGTTTACTTATCGTGAAACAGACAAAAGACGTCAATGGCACTATACCACTGTCGAATCATTGTGTACAATGCAGAAATATGGTTTAGAAAGTTCATTCTAGTATGAGTCCATTTTGATTGTATCTCGGTGAACCATTCCACTTACGGTACATACAGAGCTCGGTCGTGGGCAGAGAAATTTAGTAACACAAATATTAAGTCGTAACCAGTTCACAACAATTGAAACGATTTGAAAGACACAGTGACCAATCCGTCACGGACGCCGTTGTGTACGGTGCGCTTACTTCGCGCCTCTTCCTAACCAAACAATATATTGTTTCGTCACGCATTTATTTCATATGTACTGTAATTTTTGTTATAATAGAAAATTCTTCGATTAGAATTAATGCAATATCTATGTCATCGACGCTGTTACATTTCATAATAATTAGACTGTTTAAACGTCAAACATTAGCAATCGATGGTGTTGTTAGAGTATATTTTCTAAAAAAAAATTGTTCAATTTTGTGAATACTATATTAAAGAATTTTATATACTAGAAATTACATAGTAAGAAGTAAAAAATGAGGATATAATAATAATCGAATATAGTTTTGAATTAAATTTTAATAAACACAAAATTGTTTTTATTACAAAATGACAATAGTAGTAGACAGCATAAAACAGAAACCAAAATAACCATGAAATAAAATAACTTTAAAAGCTTTTTAATAAGTGTACATAACAATAATTCTATTGTTCTAATTCTGCAGTTACCAAGGAACAAATTTTTAGCCGTAATTCCATTTGCTTTTCTTCAGAAATATTGTTTACTAAATAAGACCCTAGTTGCTTAAAGAACTCAGGAGTTTTACAATTATTGCAATTATGAAGTAACAGTGCATCTTGTCTTCTGTTCATATTAACTTTGTAGTTTGGTTTTAATTGTCCTATGTTTATGGAGGGCGTTGCGCTTTTAATGCATATTGCTTGCATAGGTTTTAAATCAGATTCTTCTAAACATGCGTCTGCCTGGTCTGGAGTGTCAATAATTCTTTTTGAACCATCGTTTAATAGTGCCAGTGCTGAACTATCCGTGGCATCGTTTAATAAATTCATGCCAGTATTAAAAGCATTCGATTCTGCACAAGGCATTAAATTGTTACTTCTGAACAAAGTGATCTTTGGTAATTGTATTTCATCATCTGTTACTGCATTTGTAGTCGTAGAACTTTTAGATACATTTAACGCTTCCATTATTCTGTTATTGACCATATTGAATATATTTTTCATTTCAATATCATCTGGATCTATATTAAAGTTACAGTCATCCCTTTGATTCAATATATTTTCAATCATATCCAATGTAACTATGTAATTAGTTTCTTCTTTTTCGCTTACGTTTTCATTAGTAAGATCAATTTGAGAACTTGTTTCCCAAAGCAATAGTTCATCCAAAAACTCCAGATTTCCATCTAATAGAGGCGAAACTATATTTCCTCCTTGAGAATTCGCTAATTTTATACTTTTGTAAGATTTTAATATTAAATTCCAACGCCTCTGACATTCATTAGCTGAAACCAATAATTTCTGTAGAAATTATCGGAAACGAAACAAAAGTAAATCGTGAAGTAATAATAGGCAAAAGAATCTATTATAAAATCTTATACGAAGTCAATTTAAAGACAAAAAAAAATTGAATTACAATTAAGAAACCTGCGTTTAAAATAATATACACAAAATTTAAAATTTCATTGTTATAGTAATAAATTATAGTATAGTTATACAAATATACTTAGGTATTTAAACTGGATATTACTTTCAGTTCAAGTAAAAGTTAAGTATAAATAAAAGTTACTTTTTTGTAGTATTAGCAGCAACGAGTTGCAAAAGTATTGAAGTGATACGCGTGCATTATTCAAGGGCATCTAGAAATACGAGTATAAATATAAATGCGTACAAGAAGCCGCAAGCCGCATAACAAGAAAATATCTAAATACTAGCAACAAGTTAAGCACTAGAATATATTTTTTTCCAAAACTACTCTAGGTGTACATTACATATATAAATATGCATTATTATGGATTTATAGAATACTATATTATCTATAGAGGGGTTTATTTATTAAATTATATCAAAAGTATTAAAGCAATAAATATTGTATATATATATATATATATATATATATATATATATATATATATATATATATATATATATATATATATATATATATATATATAAGCTACGACATTATAACACGTAAATAATTATTTAAAAATAATAAATACTTACGACTTAATCCCAGATTTCGTGAAAAATAACTCCAATAATATGCTTTATTTTTTCCGGAATCATATAACATTCTTGAACGTTGTACAAGTTTAACTAATAGCAAGTCCTTTTTGTCCCATTCCTTAGGATTATACAGCATATCTTTTTTAGTGTTGACCATTTTGTACATAGCAGCTGAAAATAAAAGTTGCAACATTAAACGTTACCAACTGGATAGGCAGATGCCTACGAACTGAAGTATGAGCAAACGACTAAACGAGACGCGAGGGGAGATGAGGTGAGAGGAGCGGTACGCAGTCCCCTCGACGTTCCTAGGCCTCAACGTTCAACTATACGTGATTTCAGTATTATCTATTTTTCTATACATAGCACAATTATTAACATTTAAGACTACAGTTATAGGTTTTCTTAAAAAGGATGTACTAAAATTTCTTCAGGGTCAGCAATGCGCACATGATACCCTAGTGTTGCAAGTGTTAGATATTTATTTTAAATTATATAAATTTTCTTAAATATCTTGTGTCAAAATGTGTACCTACATTTATTAATAAAAATCAGACTAATTACTTTAAATATAATAAAATATTAAAATTGTTATTATGCCAAATTTTGTAATGAATTATTCTTGTAATGTATATAAAACACTAATTTATATTTTAATTGATTTTATATTTATTTATTATCATGATACAAATAAAAAGTAATGAAATTAAGAACACGTGGTCTCACTGACTTGTTCACTCAAATTCGGCCCTGTAAATATAAAAGATAGTTATTTGGGTGGGGAGACAGTTCTTGTCCAACCGTTGAACAGAGCGGAGCTCCCTGATGTATCAAGAGTGAACAACTATAGTGAACCACATGGTCATTATATAAAATATATCACAATTATTGTTGATGAAAAGCCTAAAGAAGCTATAGTTAAATAAGTGTCAATGGATTAACAGAAGTTGGGTATTTGTGTTATATTATTTGTTATATGTCATATACAAAGTAAAATAAGTGAATAAAATATAATTTGAAATAAATGAACTAACTGGACTTGTGCTTTAATTCTATTTATTACTAAGAGGCTTGCAACCTTTATATTGCTAAAGAATATATCATATACCATGTAAAGTTAGTATTACGTAGTACCCCACATATCATATTATAGGTATACATATTAAATATTATAAATAAAAATTCAAATTTGATACAAGCATGCATAGGCTACAATAACTGTTTTCCATCAGATGGGCTATATGCTTGTTTACTATTTTCGTGGTATAAAAACATACTTTTTATTGAATTTATTTGTCCGCAACGTCGTGCGCATGTACGAGTAATTTAGAAGTAAATAACTTTTCAGCACTTCTAGATAACATGTCAAGATAAAACGTAGCTACCTAACTATTGCACACTAAAAACAGTATTTAATTTGGTATAGTAAGACGAAACAGACAGACGGACAAATATTCTCCAAAAGTTATTGTTTTGGCTTCTATGGCTCTTATTCACCAAACATAAACCTTGTATATTATAAACATTTACATTTTTATGAAAATGTCAAATATCGTGAACAATATAAAATATGTACAATATAATAATAAAAATACTATGAACATAATAAAATACACTGTGCTATCCAAGGCACCCCTCATAGGTTGCTATTCCTGAGAACTGATGTCATACCTCCGTACCGTATATATCACTGCTGTAGGATATGGCAGTGATATAATATACATTTAAACAACATACTAGTAAAGCAATTTTCTAAATGTTATAAGCACATGTATAAAACATATTTTTGTTTGTGCAAATATCACGACAACAGTTTCCACTAAAATACACGTCTGCGACTTGTATTTTCATAATGTTGAAATCCATTGAAAATAAAACATCTGGAGCGAAAATATTGCGTAAACAGAAAAAAATACAGTCGAAATGAGAATAGACTCCATTGTCTAAAAAAAACTCTAAAAATATATTATAGGTATTTTTTTTTTTTGTAAACAGATATTGTATCGTACATGCTATATTCGATTGTGTATTTTTAATTAATTTATTTATTTAACACTTTATTACACCAATATTACTTGTTGAAGACTTGTTGAAGAATTTTCAATAAGTATAGAGTAGTACAAAAGGCGGTCTTATTGCTAAGCAATCTCTTCCAGACAACCTTTGGGTAGTAGGAATAAAAAATGATTACACATATTATGTAAAATTATATGTACCTACATTCATGTTATGGACTCAAGAATTAATAGTATATTATGTAGAAATGTTGCGCCACGTTTTCAGATCATAATAAAAATAATTTCGGTATTTTATATACTAAATAAAATATAGATTTTTATTAAGATACTTATAGAACATGTATTTTCATTTCCATTACGTTAATCATATATACAAGAATTTTATTTGTCAATTTTATCAATAACACGTGAACAATACAAGCTAGACTTCTGGTCGCCAGAGGTTTCCACAAGCCAGCGTTATATCTCTTTAAAAAGACTCATTGCCTCGGGGCCCCACGGGCCCAAAATCTCAACTTCAAACGCCGCAAACATATACACACTTCGAATATTTTTGGAGCTTGATAGTCTCTTTGTGTATTTCGGCGGCACCAGCCCTCATGGATGTAGGTACTTGGAAAGTGAAACAACGCCAGCGTATTGACGCAGATGAAGTCCCATACAAGCGAACGTCTAACAGCTCAACCAATATTCATAAATTGGATATTCGGGTTGAAAAAGGACATAGTCTACATTTCAATTCAGTTAATATTTACGCCATTTATAAATGTATAATATTACATGTAATTTACAAGTGCAATTAAGAATATACATAATATATCTTATTTACGCTGTGTTTCGGTTTGAAGGGTGGGATATGGCGTGAATTTACTGGGTATAGAGGAATAACACCTGAGTCCAACAGTATACTTTGTTATGTCCATGGCACTGCTCATGTCTATAGGCAACGGTTACCACTTTCAATCAGATGGGCCGTCAGCTTGTTTGCTAAGTTGTATAAAACAAAATTAAAAACTATAATATATAGCATCGTAATAATAATATACTAATATATTTATTATGCTATACAATTATCTTTTAGATTATATAGTCTCCATAGAAATGCTTTGAGAAAAACGGGTCAACTTTTTCATACAATTTTGCGTGATAAATAGTTATAAATAATTTCTTTATAACTTCTATCTTTATTTTGTCTTATAAATTCTGCATCTTTTTAATGCGTAAACACTCATTTTATTTATTAAATAATACTTCAAGATACATTTTATGCGTATATATAGAATACTGATAAAAATAATGAGTCAGGTAATTTGATAAATAGCTGACAAAAAGTTGACCCGTTTTTGAAGCTCGATGTTCTATCTATATAATCTAAGAGTAATCTATATGAGAATCTTCTCATTAATAATTGAAAATTTAGCTCTGCAATTGATCAACGACATCGAGTGTGTAAAATTAAAATGGGACCAATAACAGTAAAACCTATCAATAGCCTATTAAACGCCTATTAATATTACAACAAAAAAAATCAAAATCAGCTTAAATTGGTGAAAATACAATTAATATACAGACAAAAAAAAATATGAAAACCATCTCCCTTTAAAGTCGCCTGATCTTTTTCCCCACCCAAATAAAAAATGCATAAAAAAATTAAACCAGTAAACAAATATTAGTTTAACAATGCGTAAAGCGTGTAATGTCAAAATGAGATTATATTTGGTCAAAATGTTCATGCCACTTTTTTTGTTATATCGAGATAGCTATTACAATTTCTAATAACAATAAGGCAGAGGGCGGAACGCGTGGGCTCGTAGACGTAGCGTCGTAGGGCCGACCGTGTGACGTCGACTCGCGCCTACGACCTCCACCGCTACGAACGTAGGCGAAATCATTACCGTTTTTACTTCTATAAACTTTTGCCCTGATCCGTGTAATTCTCATTACTGAGAATTTTGCTCTATATTAGATGCATGTATTGATAAAGAAATTTGATCTATCAGCTATCCAATATCTAATATATATAAGGTCTGCTTAGTTTAGAACTACAAATAGCAATGCGCGGTATTTTCAAACTATTTATTTATTGACGTAGGCGAATTTAATATACCTACGTATTTTTGCTATTTATTTAAACGTTGTTTATTTTTTATATTTCAGTTAATAATCCAATATATGTATGTACGTATATTATTTAATCGTATAAAATTAAAGTTTACTGTTTAAATGTGAAAATACACATAAAGCTGAAATTTTCCCAGATATGAATTCAGTCGTGAAAATTTATAGTTTATTCCTAAATCAAACCCATGGTTCTGATACTCTTACTGCAGAGGATTGTAGTCGTTTCCCTATTATTCTCTTGTTTTTAACAAAACCTGAAAATGAATCCAACTAAAAAAGAATCGGCTTGCTTAATAGTCATACTTACTTATGCCACATTTCGTCATAAATTTGTAAATTAAAAATATAGAATTGGGCCGTATACTCCAGGCATAGAATAGGCCACCTCTCACTTACCCGTGGATGCCGTAAGAGGCGACTAAAGGAATTTAATGACAGAGCAATGGGCAGCAGCTTTCCTTTTAAAATATCTTTAAAAGAAAAGGGAAAGGCTTATGTTTAGGAATAGATAGTTAATGACTGAAATGACGATAATGAAATATAATAAAGATTTATAATTTTTCTGTTCAAAATTATATTTTTATAAAATCTTAGACTCAGAAATTTACAAAATTTTGCAAGTCTAGCTTAAATAAAATAAATTACACGTTGATGATAATCAATATTTTATAGAAAGCTGATGGGACGTTATTAGTACCGTGAAAATAAAAAATGCGAGAATGGTGACAAACACATCAACACCTTTCATATCATAAAAATAAAACTGAAAGCTGGTTGATCCCATTAACAAACATCCATCACATTCTCGACACTTCAGAATGTCTACACTAAGTTAAACTGTGCTTGCAACTATTAAAGATAAATAGGTATATAAGAAAAAAAAAAGGTTGAAAAAATAACCCAAGGGGATATTACTTAACTGTTTTTATCCACTCGTACATCAAGTTGTTGGTTCGACAATATTATGATGATCAACATGAATACTACCATATTAATATACGACGTAATATAAAACATAACGACAGAGTATGAACTGTTTTTTTTTTTCTTATAAGTTTTTTGCTGAATTTATTACGACAAAAAGAAGTAGCAAACAGAGCAAGTGCGCGCTTTATTAGCGCTTGCCGTATAGCACGCCAGGCATTCCGGTCTCAGAACCTGTCCGAGCGAGCGAAGCAAACGCTGAAAGTTGAGAAGCACTCATCCTGGATACACTGTCTCCCACACTATCAACGTCTCAACTCGACCGTGTAATAGCCGTTTGTATCTGGATAGTCCGGCCGCACAGTGCAGACGAAATGATTGTGTCATAACATTCCCACATGTTAAACGTTAAGGTATCAAATGTAAAGTATATTGCGCACTTGACGCCCACAACCTCATTTCGTACAGATTCAAATATCATTTTAACCGACTTAAAAAAAAAGGTCAATTCCTAGGGATTATTAAATTCTTTATCTGTTATCGTTAACATTAAAAATCCGATTTAATAAATTATTTTAAAAACTCAGAAAATTTTGAACTTGTTACCTCTTGGAGACTTAATGGCTCAGCCAATCATCATAGTTCATTTCGTAGTACATACACTAAGTATTTGAAATGGAAAGTCTTATAGCTATTTGACCCGGTCAGTCAAGATATCCCAGACACGCAGACCAAGTCGCGAGTCAAAGCTAGTATAGTATATGTGTACGATATTTTAACCACAAGCATAACACAGATTATTTCAGTTCTACGTGTGCGGGAGGTCTAAAAATCGCGGTGGATAGAATACAAGTGGGCGCGATCTATGTATGTAAATGCCTACACGCTCGGTGCACTTTCGAGATGATATCAAAGATGATGTGAATACGCGTTTATAGACAGAAATGACAATCAACCTCTTTAGTTTCGTAATGATTTTTTCGGTCGCGACTCGAAATCACATAAAGACAGCCAGGAAACGAGTTTTTGGAAGTTGTTGCAATATATGCCTACTTGTTTTATTTTAGTTTATTTTTTTTTTATATTTAACATTTTTTATTTACAGAAGGACATTATTAAATTGTTAATCTTTATAACATTTTTTACCTCTAAATCTTGTATGATATAAAAATAACAACCTTAAAAGATTTTAGCTGTCTTAATATTGTATTATTTATTTCTTTGTATCATATTGGTGTGTAACTAGGTAAACCTACCTATATTTAAGTAAAGAAATCTGTACAAGAACTCGATTGTGAAAATAATATCTAGTTACATTATAAATATTATATTATTTACCGTCATAAACATATCGTTTCGTGTTTTCATATTTAAATAAGTACAAAACAAAACGGTGTCGTTTCTATTCGATTTCACTCGATGCGTTTCGATGTCAGTGAGTAACGATCACTGTAGTCCACAAACTCGATTCTGCGTACAATTGTATGTGTTACGTTTATACTTTATAAATATACAAGCATGCGACTGTATGAGTGGATCCACTGGTTACATACAGCCACTGATTTGTGACCGTCTCATCTCATTCACTTACCGATTTGTTATTTTTAATTCCATGGTATTTATTCTTGGTTTAAATTCATGTTGTTATTCAACTCATTCCATAAGATGGAAACTTGTATATCAGTCCCAATTGTAAATAAATATGTATTACTTTAATGAAAATTATATTTTCGTATAATTTTAATTTCTCACTTCACTTTCTGTCACCTTTTCTTTCGTCATCGTTGTATTCTATTATAAATTCTAGTATAATAATTTATTAAACAAAGTAATATTACTAGAAATAATATTATATTCAACTTTTGCCCTAAGCTCTTTTGACTATAATATGTCACTACCTGCATTCACGTGTAAACTGTACAGCATTTACATTAGACAAATCTTAATAGCGTTGCGACGTTGCTTAATTAAGGGTCTGACTTTGATTTTACGTAAGACTAATTTAAGAAAGTGCATGCATATATAAAGCAAATGATATGAATGATGGTAGAGTAATGAAGTTAGTACCATATTATGTTTTAAGTGCTACGATTAAAACAGAATATGGACCAGCGTACTGTGGTCCCTATCTTAACTTTATGATGTACTTTATACAAATGTTAATTCGTAATAGGACGATACACATTGCAGTTAATAATAAAATAAAATCTTCTATAAATATTTATATAATACATACTTGAGTATATATGTTTAAGCATCAATTAGTTGCCATTTGTACAATAGATACAGTTGTGATGAGACAAAACGTTTAGCATATTATTAGATTTATTGCTAATAGAAAAGCTAATGAGTGCGCCTGAGCGCTAACTCTTGAGAATTAATGCACTTGGAGGCGGACCATACATAAAATTATCATAAAACTTGTTAATACAACTATATAAATTGTGAACGGATTAATTTATTGCGATGGCTGTTTACTTAATAACGTCTCTATTAAGATGTTAAGCTATTGTTTATAAAGCGCATTTCTATCCTTTTTACAAGTATAATATCACCAATTTAGATAAAATTTAAAAGCGTTTCTCATTCATATAAAATATGCATTCTTTATCAAAGTGTTTGTCAAATTTGCATTACACTATTGACATACTAGATAGAATAAAACACTCGAATAGTTACTATTACGAGAATTAGAAACCAGCCCATACAAATAGCTATCATTACTCGATGTTGAAAATTAAAACATTTTTGAGTTACACGATATTTGGACATAAATATATGAGAATAAGAGTTATAATTTATAAGATGGAATATTTGTGTGGGTACAGAGAATCAAAGCGATGCCGCGATGTAACTGTGAAGCGGCCGGGCATTTGTCGAGCTTGCCGTGTCAATAAACTTGATTCGAAAGTGGAAGACGTTCCGCCTTACATAAGCAGGCAACAATGTGAGCCGCACCGAAGAATACCCATAGGCCATGGAGTGTAATTTTAACAGACGTGCTGTGGCTCCGGGTGTATGGAAATAAACATGAGTTATCGGAGATGTCAACATTTAGCATTGGAGATTTTTAAATGATATAGAGTAGTAGGTAATTAATAAATAAATAAGTAGTCGACTTTAAATAATACTTACTGTTAGCTAAGCAGTTTTTTAATGGATGAAAACGGTATATTGCCCCCATCAGCTCTAGTAGTTTATGCTGGTCGGGCACCAATAAGGGATGATAGATGAGAATGAAGTCAGGTCAATCAGCCCATGATGGTACCGTTTGATGTATATACCAGAATTTACTAAGCACTTAGATATTTGTTTTTCAATTTAACTATTTGCATGTGCAATGAAGCGTTATTAATTCGTTTAGATAAGAAGTTACGTTTTCGGTAAAAAGGGTAATTTTATAAACTTTCTGTAAGACATTCTATATTTTAACGCCCATCTATCGATTTTTATTACACAGGACTACTTTCCATTTAAAATTTCGCTGTAAAAATATTAATAAATATAATATGGATTCATTGTGTATTCTATTTAGTAGGATTAATTTAAACCTCTATTATATAAAATTTCAAATACGAATTAGTCAGTTATTCAGGTTGAGTATTGTTATAGTCAAAGAAATTTTGTCACATTATTCCCTTCATTTAACACCTTCATAAGCATCTGGTCTTCAATATTCTTTGTTACATCTACTGTGTACACGTCTCGACACGGCCACAGCGTTCGGCGTCAGTCCAGTTATTTGCAAAACCGCTATTTATAGCAATTCCATAAGTAAGCTATATTAGACACACTCATAGATCGATTTCATATAAACTGCGAATCGATCATGGAACGTGATTTATAAGGAAAAAAATAATTTATACTTAATTATATGCGGTTACTAAGCTAACTGAAATTATTTTATTTAACTAACGTTGTCAAAATATTATGTTTTACTTGACCTACCGCAACGTCACTGTTAATTTCTATCTGATGTTTATACAAACATTTTTAAATAAGTATAAAAAAATAAGGATCAATTGCTTATGAAACGATAAATATATAATTTGTAGAATTTTTTTAATATATAAACCTGTTATTGTTTGTTATTTAAATATAATAAAAATGAAATGAAAATGCTCGTTTAAGACAAGTTCAGTCAACCAGTTAGATAAAATATTTACATTAATTCAAACTTAACGCTCTGTTAAAATCCAAAGCACCTACCTATATGTACGGGATACGAGGCAACTACTATAGTTCTTTTTTTAATTAAATGTCATTTTAATTAAGAGGTAGTTAAACAAATACTAACTTTCCTTTTAATTTCACTGTTGACGTTCATTATTATGTGATAGACCATTTGCATACCTTATGACGCTGTTATGGTTATTTTATACCTTTTAAAAAGTATTTTATGTGACTCCGAATATTATCACAGGCTCTTATCTGTAAAATGTAAATACAGTAGAGTTATTGTTGTACGTATATTAAAAAAAAAAAGAAAAGCATCGGTAATTATAAGAAGTGGCATATAGTCAAATGAGAAAAAAAAACCTTCGGTTGAACGGGTCAATAACTAGACAAAGGCCCGAGTAAGATTGTAGTTCTGATCGGCCTCAAATACTTTACGGTGAGTTTATTAATTAAGGTGGCCGACCTTGCGGGCCGCGCATCCAAGGCGCAAGGAGGTCGGTCGCGCACGCGGGAGCAGGACGGCGATAGTACCGCACTCCCCGCACGCCGATTCCCACACCCGCGCGACCCACCGCCGCACTCCGCGCCGTTTCAATCGTCTGACGTCTCCCTCATTGACCTTCCGTTATCTGCACTAGGATTGTCGTCGAGTTACATCGGTTTGTTGTCGCACTCATTGTTAAATGCTCCTAATTAATTTCGTTTATTATTTTTTTTATTTTCCAATTTATCATTAATGCAAAATTACTAGAGCAGATTCTGTATACAAATTGTTGATGTTGTGTATTATAAATTGTTTTATAGTAATTTAATTACGCTATAAAACTAAATAATTCATACAAATGATAAGTAATGTGAGCAGATAGACATAAAACTGTCGCTTATAAATTCACTGGATTTTCTTATTCAATTTAAAATAAAAGAAATTAGCATTATAAATAACTTAAAATAAATTAACAAGAAGAACTAATCAACAAAGAGCTTTAAAAGTCGTTCGGTCGCCAGGCAATTATGGATGCTAAGAGGCGAATCTACAGTAAGCCGGTATACATGACGTATCATACCAACACAAACACAATTGTGCGATGAGTAGCGCAGAACAATCGCAGGAGAGCGCACGCGGGAAGATCATTGGAAACCGCACCTTAAGCTCATTGTCAAACCGATTACAATAAACAAACAGGACAGACGCGGTTGGAATCTTGTCAAACAGGCGAGTTCGAGCGTTGACTTATTACTGGTAGGGCATTTCTGTGCACGCACTGTCAATTAAAAAACCGCCTTAGCGTAAATATAGAAAGTTGATATTACAGGAGCGTGGCAAGTGGACAGGTAAGACACGGGCACCGTCGCCTACGGTCGGCGCACACATGCACGCGTCCCCGGTGCCATAAATAAAAGATTCCTACAGAAACAATTGTTGCGTAGAGGTGAGCTAAGGCCTCGGTGAATGTAGTCGACTAATCGCTGTGAACCGATCGCGAAAGTAGGTGACCGCCGTGATTGACGCTTGCGAAACGCCGTTCGATGACATTTAGGCTGGAGCTTGCTGGACGGACGATACGTTAAAATCCCTCAATAAATAAATATGGTTTAAAAATCAATACATATGTATTTAATTACGTATATAAAAGTAAGAAATTATCACAGACAAAGTTATATTAACATTAGTCAATAATGTGAAAAAAATATCATTTTCTACTGATATACGGATAGGTCTCTGTAATAAAAAATATAAAAAGTAAGTGTCACCGCTCCACATCTGAAATCTCGAATCTAGTGCTTGTATTTATTGAAATATATAAACAATACATAATAAACTTAATTGAAATCGGGAAAATAAAATATTCAAGAACACTTCTAATTATAACCATTTCTGGGATAAAGTTTTAAAGAATAAATGTAATATAATACCTATTTATTAAATATTATAACGCAGTTTAATAGAAAATAATGGAAATATAATATTTATATAAATGTTTTAATGTCACGACAATAAGTCGTACCTAGTTACCTACTGCCGAATTATTATCAATGACTATTGATTTTTCAGTTATCTAAAAATTATCAGTTACGCATTTCGTAAGAGTACATATTTAATCAAAAAAGTTGATAGATAATCTAGTACAAAAAATTGTTATTAATATTAACGTCGTTCTGTCCAATAACTGGAACTCTACGGAATTTCTGTTCCGAGATAACGCCGCTCCACTTAACCTCGTCACACAAACGTAACTCGTAAACGTGAAACAATACGGTACACCATCACAACCCACAATAACACCTTACGGTTTCAATAACAAACAATATTACACCTTATTTGCATTGACATAAGGCAAACAAATTAGTTAGCCCCTGTAAAAAGTTGGCTTAACATTACGTACACTCACACCAGCGTACAATGAATCTGCGTTGGTACATTATCATCGATGTGTGTGTATGCTAGGGAAATTTATAACACTGTTCATCACTCTACAATCCACAGTAATTCACAGTTTTGTAGCATTTTATAAAGTAAACACCTCTGTGTAAGATTATCATTTAATAAATCGACTGTAGATTTTATCTGAAGCGGCAGAAATATTCAAGTTTTCGGTCATATATCTTGCAATCTTACTTCCTGAGTCATGCTATAAGCGTACGTTATATTATGTATGTAAACCTGTACCGTTGAAAATTTACAATTTTATTTTTATAACTAACCTGTATGTTATTCCTCACTACAGATTGTGGAAATATGAGTACATAATCTTGTTTGCCAATTTATTCTTGTGACACCAGTTTTTCCACTGATATATATTTTATGTAGATAGATAGATATATACTCATAAATAAATGTACATAAATATTATGAATGATTTGAATTATAGATATAAATACTTCGGTCACGTGCGTATTTAAATATACATAGTTTATGATATGTAAAACCGAAATTATAATAATATCAGTCAGTACCTTATACTGTGACATATTTCTATCGTTATCAACTTATTAAATACTAGTAAAAATTCAATAGAAGTCCTTAATTAAGGAAAATATATTAGAAATTTTAGCAGACGAATGACGAACGAACTAAAGCTGAAAGGCCATATCATCATAAAAGGGAATTAATTCTGAAGTGCATATTATTTTTATCCTTCATGCAATTCTTTTACTATCTCTCTACTTATGATTATTAGATATATTCTGTTTATATATTTTCATTTCTTAGTTTCATATTTCTGTTGTATAATCCGTTTAGGAAATACTATGAATATAAGTAATACCTACATATGTAAAGTACATTCTACGTCAATAAATAAAAAAGGTTCTTGTTATAACTTGTTATTAAAATTTTAATTGCTTACAGATTCGCTTGTATAGTTGATGCACTTGAATTATTTATTATTATATTACAGTTTATTAATCTATTATATTTTATCTTAACGTACATTTCGTTTAAGACACAGTTACAAGAGACACAAGACTACTTCAACTACTCGACCTTATTGATATTATTCAACAAAAGTTAATAAAAATAATTTTTCGTAAAGAAGAAAAAGTATTAAAAAGATAAAATGGACTGATTTCCTTCTTCGTTCCTTATTCGTCGTCTCACAGTGATATCGAGACGGCTATAGGCCAGATTTCCTGATTTTCCTTCTTCAGTTTGCCCAACCTTACATAATATATTCTTCAGACAACAACTCGCAATACTTGGGTAAATTGTTACCAAAGTGTTGCTGGATATTGATCTAGCAAAACTAGCTTCCTATTTGGGCCAACAACGAGATCTGGTATCTCCTATCTCTCTACCATCTGTGATCAACATAACTTTATTTATGTCACATAAATATTTTTTTTTATATAATATTGTTTTAGGTTTTTTTTAAAAGACTACAGCATGGGGTTCTTCATTGCAGGCCTTCATATGCTACGGTAACTGCTTACCATCAGGTGGACTGTATGCTTGTTTACCACCTCAGTAGTATAAAAAAATTGTATTACTAATAAAATCTCTGCAATTCTGACTTTGTATTACTTAATTTATAATTAGCTTGAAATATTGACAAAAATATAATTCTTTATATTGTTCAGGAGGTATCGTAAGAAGCTTACTATGGGTGTAGGCGATTGTTATCACTTTCCATTACGTGGGCCGTCCGTTTATTTGCAACTATCAGTCGTGCAAATAAACAGTTGTTTATACATATTTAGGTACATCGATAAAGAAGCTATTATAGTAAGGTTTAACGGGCTTTCTTTCTTTATAAATTTTTCATAGCGATTACAATAAAAAAGTAAACAGTAAGCAACAATCAAGAAATAGAAAACAAACGTGTGTCTAAATTCATATCAATTTGAATGTTCAAGTAAATAAATTTGAGCCGGTTGGTGATTTCTAGTGATACCGCCGTTTATGTAGAGATGAAGTGAGCATTCGGCTCAATTTGATAGGCATACATACATGTGCGCTTGCGCATCAAGCGACGCGACTGCGCGAGACAGCTATTTGTACTTAGTAGACCGAGCACGCCCACAAACTAACGAATATCGGTAACTAATATGTGGATGTGGTACGTGAATAAAATAAAAATGAAAAAATAAGCTACATGTGTACAATATTGAGAAAATTAAAAATTTTATTTTTAAATTTATGGATGATTTATAGCTTTCATGGAGGAATAAGACTAAACAAGTTCATTATGATCGATTAGGATAGTGAAAAATAACAATTCTGTATCGCCATATACCTGTGAATTATTTTATAGTAGTGAAATATTTGGTGGTATTTATGTAAATCGAAAAAGAAACCCAGGATTCTGACTGAAGAACAGGTAGTAGTCGAGATAAATGACTAATTTAGATGGAGACACTTAACCCAGCTGTTATTTAATAAAGTGGTTAATATACAGAAAGTAAATACTTAATCTCCCTTTGGCATTTATAATAAAAATGTACATCGTTAAATAGACTGTCAAGGAGTTTATTTATAAACTGTAATGTAAGCTCAAAATTTTTAAAAAAGGTCAATTGAACAATAAGACCTTGCTTCTTTATTCCGCGTCATTTCACTTAATGCAATGCTCCAAATGGAATGCATATAGTAACAACCACTGGGCGCCATTTTTATTATAAAACATCAACACCCACACTCTCTCCGTGATATACTTGAATTAATTACTAATCATAATATGTTCAACCCACTCGATACAACGATAAAGACAGAGGACGAGAGGTTTCACACTCCAGAGTTCAAACTTCTCGGTCATTGATATAGCAGTCAATTATTGTTCTACAATAACATTAACGTCAGATAAGAAAACAATTACATTACTGCAGTCAAAACAACTTCACTGTTATTACATACAATCACTTTTTCACAATGTATAGATGAACAATATCCTTAAATTAATTTGAAATAAGCCATTCTTTATAAAAGGTCATGGCTACTTTGTTACATGAATAGTTGCGACTTGATCACACACACAAGTGCAGTAAGTGTTAAGTTGAGGCCACGAAACTAGCGTATACGTTAAGAATAACACACGTGGCCAAGACAGAACCCGGACGCTGGAAATGCAAAGTGCATAAAGCGACACTTTGGC